CAACCAGTGAGTGAGCGGGGAATGTATATTTCTTTCCTGGGATCATTGTTTACCCCTATGAATTATGGATGCAGGTAGATCTATGTGTGTCCCTGTCTGCCACACAAATTGCACAGAATAGTTGCCAAACAGGAAGTGCATGTATTGGATGTGCTTTAAGGTAGTTAGCCCTGGGCATATTTAAATAGATAGACTTTGAATGACTCTGTTGGACAGACATGGGATAAAGTCGCATATAGACAAGTCACAAGTAAGTCACAAGTCCTAACTCTCACAGCTGGAGGAACTAATGACTTGAGGGCGGGTGTTTTGGGTTAAACAAGAGGGGCTTTATTAGAACAAAATGATCGAACTGACTGAAAATACGCTGGACCATGAGGTATAAAAACGAGAAGGCTAGACATTAGAAGAACACAGGCTGACAGGCTTATTGACCCGACTGGGAATACTGGATTGGGAAGCATGTATATATGGGAATAACGAGGGAGCTAACAAGAGGCAGCTGTAAGTGATCAACATGAGGGTTAAGGACGAGAGGTAAGGCAAAGGAGTAACAGGTGTGGCTTGTTAGGCGCTCTTTAGGGAAGGGACAGAAGGGTCAGGTAGGCAATACGTGACAGTACCCCCCCACCCCCACCCCTCAAAGCGTGCCTAAGGGGATTGAACAACAGGGTGGACATACGGGACAGACACCACAATAGGGCAGAGGGACAGAACTACCAGACTGGACAGGATAAGATTGGGTTGGGACAAATGGCATGAGATGGGGCATGGAACAGGCAGAGGTCAGACCAGGGACAAACAGGACGACAGTAGAGACCAATGGACAAAACCACACAGAAGAAACAGACCAGCTTCAGGACATGACCAGGAATGAGGGACAAACACTAGACATCAACGGGGACCTGGGAGCAGAAGAAACTGGGACAAGGACAAACAGAACAAGCCACACCATGACAGCATGGACAACTAGAGGGGCAACAGAGACAGGAGTGGGAACAGAAGAGGGAACCATTGGGGACACAGACAAGGTGGAAAAAAAAGGCAGGGACAGAGACGAAGGCATGACAAATAAAAAATGGGGGGTATCCAGGGAGTCTTCCAGACCCTCGAAAGCTGGGCAACATCTCTGAGATGTGGAACCTCCTGGGCCCATTTGGACCGCAAGACCTGAGGGCCTTGGAGGGCCAGCAGGGCCAGAGGGTGCTGAGGAGCCAGCGGAACCAAAGGGTGGGACATCAGGAAATAGGGCGAGGCCAAGACACCTGGATGTGAGCAGGGTGCAGCCGGGACATCTGGAGGTAGAGTCCTGCATGGGTTCTGGTACCCACAAGTAGTGTTGTGCATGAACGCATTCATATTTTTCGTGAGTGCTGAACTGAACGAATCAGTTTACAAATTATGAACGTCAATGTGAGTGACGTTTGCTCTCGCGAGACTGAACGCCGCTCACGTTTTATGACTGTTTTAAACTTTGGCAATTACAGACTGGCATGGCTGGTGCTTCGAGTTTGGACGCTTCTGCTGAAGGCAGTTAGTTTAAACATTTGAGTCCATTTTTTGAAGAAATTGGTGTAGATTTAGATGGGAAAAACCACACTTTTTATGCAAATCATGTCCACCTGGTTTGAAAAAACAAGTCCGGGCGTCAGCCACATCTGCATCCAAATTGAAACGACACATTGAATTGAAGCATCAAAGCAGTTTTAGGGAATACCTTCATCTTAATGATGAGCACAAAGAATCATTAACAAAGTATAAGACTATGAAAAAACAATCACAAAGTTCATTCACCCAAATGATACCTAAAATCTCATTGCTAAAGACTGAAAAACAATACAAAACACTGTCAAGGGCTTTTTTTGCAAAGGCATCTGCTTTGTGGAACAGGGTTAAATGAAGCTCTAAAGCATCAGATTTTGTTGAGGAAAAGGGATTAGCTTTTTAGCATTGTGTTTCCAAATGATACACGATGGAACTCTGTGTATCTTGCTATGCATCGACTGTCTCACATAGCAATGTTAACTCCTAGGGCAGATACCAGTGAGGCTGCTGACACTGCCATTCCTGTATATGACAACCTTATCTTGCACACTGTGTGTGATAAGTTTGGTTTTCGCCCATTTTCTCCAGAGGAAATTAGCTTCATACACATGTTTGTGGATGCAATGAGGCCCTTAGCATTTGCACTAAACATCCTCCAGGGAGAGAACAATGTCTTCCTTGGATACTTGGCTCCAACCATTGTGCAACTGCGAAGTGATCTGAATGGCCTGTTGGATGAGCGCACAAAACCCACTGCTACGCATGGTCTGATTACATGCCGTCCCCTCATACAGAGCATGTTGCAGTCACTTAAAATGAGACTTGAAGGCTTGCTTGAGGAGAAGGAACACATATTAGCAGCTATGCTGCTACCAACATTCAAGCTCGACTGGGTGGAGAATGGGGAGAAACGGCTGCGGTACAGAGCAATGTTGAAACAAATTTGAAACTGTTAACTTTGATGACTCAGAAGCACGAAGCTCTGATCGATCTCAGTCCAGTGGTATCACTGACAATAAACACACTGCAGCATCTTTCTTCAAGTTTAACCAAAACCCACAGAACCTTAGAAAAACAGAAGTGGACACTTATTTGGATTCACCAACCACAGATGGGTTTGGGGAATACACTCAGCTGCCCAAGCTGTTCATAAAATACAACACTGCACTTCCCTCTAGCGCTCCAGTGGAGAAGCTTTTCAGCATTGGTGGTCAGATACTTAGGCCCAGAAGAAATAGTCTTGGTGATGCCAATTTTGAGATGCAACTGCTCTTGAATGACAACAAAAAACTAAAAGATTAAAGAGAAATTAACCTCTGTTGTAGGGGGATAAGAATAGTGGTATTCATTGTGATTATTTTGTGGTGCTATGAAGAAAACAGAACAACAGAGAAGAAGTGAACTTTTGTGTGTTTTCTGTGTTTGTATTTGTTAGTCATGTTTTAGATGTTAAAATATGTTTGCTGAATATTGCACTGTAAAGCCACCGACTACCTCTATTTCACTCTATACAGGGGAACCCAGCTTCTAACATGATAATAGAAAAGTTATTTATGTTTGTTGAAGGTAAATGCTCTGTTTTCATAGCTGTACTTTTTCTGGATATACAAAGTTACATAGTCAAAGTTAATGAGTATGGCTTATTCATTGTTTATCAAATGTTTACAGTAAGTTAGTTCTTTTCAAACGAGGAATATTTGGCTTAATATTTCACTGAACTATGACTAAGGCCTCATGCTCATACTTGAAATACACAGGGGAAATACGTTTATAAAAGGAAGATATTTATGTTTAGTACAGCTAAATACTGGATGTTTGAGTTTTAGAGCTGTACATTTTCACTAGACAAACATCAAGTTTGATTTTTAAAAAAAAAACAGACTGAAAGACAGTGGCTGTTACTGTTTACTTTTAGTTATGTTCTTTTCCAAGCACTTTAAAAGTTGTTGTCTGAATATTACACTTTAAACATTACATTTTGTGTTAGTGTTGTCTGAATAAAATTTGCATATACAGTATACCTAAACTCTACCTCATTTTCTCACTGTTAGCATAACATGACACAAGTGGTAAGATCGATTCTCAACCTCAGAATTGCTTTTTAATGTTACTCATGTCTGTGATTGTTCAGTGGTATATGACAGATAGAAGGAGAAAATTGAAGGAGGTTCAGATAGAAAGACGTTGTATTGAAAATGTTAATAAAAAACATTTTATTAGTTCATTTTTGGAGCTGTGAACTTAGTTCAAAATTTTTAAAAAATTAACTATGAACATGAACTAGTTCAGTTTTATTTGAATGAACTTAACTTTGAACTAGTTCTTTTTCAGTGTGAATTGGCACAACACTGCCCACAAGTACCTGACTGGTAACCCGCAAGTTTTGGTGGAACACTTATTTTAAAAATAAATAGGTGTTACGCGCTGGCCAAGAACGCAGAGGCGAGGAGACAGGATCAGGGAAGATGCGGGGTTTAATGGGAGCGAACACGAAGGAACATGCAGCAAGGCAGATTGACATTACATCACATCAGGAACAGCTGTAAAACACTGGGATTCCACATGAGGTTAACGAGGGGGCGTGGCACATGAGAGGAGCGGACGATCGGGGCATGACAGTAGGCTACAATTTTACACATTTTTTGAAAACGTAAATCACACATCCACAATCTATAGCTACATTTAAAATAGATATGGATTTTTTAAATTATGTTTCTGCCCTCCCAGAATATCCTGTTTGAAATCACATGATCAAAATATCTGCAGTAGGTAAAATGGACATTGAGGAATTGAGAAAACGACTGGCTCATGGAGTTAAATGTTATAGAAAACCAAGCTTGCCAACTTTGGTCAGCTAGCTAGTGTGAGATTTTCAATACGAGGCAAGTCTGCATATGCGTATACATGTATTTTAGTTATATAGTTTTATTACCTTGTAAATAGTCTGTAGGGTTTGCAAACTGCCCCAACGAGTGGAGCTGGCAACCCTGGAAAACCCGTCATCTAAAATAACGTCTACCGTATGGGAGAAGATTGGAATTAAATTAGATCATGAAAACAATGAGGTAAATGGACTCACTACATTACAATATAATAACTGCAAGTGTGGGACGTCTTCACTAAGAAAGCATGTTAATAGCTGTGTCATTTTAAAAACTAGCAGCAATGCTATCAAATGGCATCTTAGAAGAACCAGAGAGCTAATGGTTCCCAGGCGAGAGGATAAGGATACTATAACCAAACTTTCTGGGAACTTTGTGTATAATGATATTAGATCTTTTGAGACAGTACATGGTGATGAATTTTTTTGAATTAGTACAAGGGTTGATTGGCATCGGTGCTTGGGCTTCTTCATCCAACTGACGTAGTAGTCTAATTATAATTCGGGTTCAGGTATTGGAATTTATTTGATGCAGGTCAGGCGGATGCTGCCGGCTAACAGGTTGGATGCAGATTTAAGCAATGTGGGTACAGAGCGTGCGCAGGTTTACAGAACAGGACACATGCAGGAGTCTGCCTGGAGGTGAGAGGGGCGCAGCCAGGACACCTGGGTCAGGTTTGGGTGGCATGGCTGCCACAGGGCCAGGTGCAGGTAATGTGGCCCTTCCTGGGCCAGGAGCCTGGGGCTCAGGCAAAGCGGCGTTCTCGGGGCCAGGAGCCTGGACTGTGGGTGTAGCACCACTCTCTGGGCTGGGGACCAGGAGCATGGCCTCCAGGAGTACAGGAAAGACAAAGACAGGCTCTGGAGGCACAGCAGAGGCAAAGACAGGCTCTGGAGGCACAGCAGAGGCAAAGACAGGCTCTGGAGGCACAGCAGAGGCAAAGATGGGCTCTGGAGGCACAGCAGAGGCAAAGATGGGCTCTGGAGGCACAGCAGAGGCAAAGATGGGCTCTGGAGGCATGGCAGAGATGAAGACAGGCTCTGGAGGTGTGGCAGCAGTCTCACCAAGGTCATGCACTGGCGTTGGTCCAGCTTCTCCTGTGCTGGATACTGGAGGAGTGGTGGTTTTTTCCTAGGCAGGACTCCAGAGATACCGAGTCTGGTGAAGTGGCAGCCATGGGCACAGCTTGCCTCTTCCTCCTGAGACTGCGAATGGCTGGCAGGGTTGCAGCGAGCAGCGGGGAGCCAGTGGGCGAATCGATGGCAAGCTGCAGGGAGCCAGTGAGTAGATCTGCAGTGGTGTGCTGGGGACAGCCAACAGGCAGAATGACTTCACCCTCAAGTAGTCACTGCATCTCCCTCATAGTGTCGAATCTCCTAGCCTCCCTAGCATCCCTCCTGCCCACATCAAGAGCACTCTGGAGGAGGCTCGGGCTGAGGTAGGAGGTTGGGTACAAGGGAAAGTGAACAAGTGGCGATATGGAGCACGAGAAGCTCCTGGAGATAGCTGCTAGGCTGTTTGTGGAGTCCAGTCACAGCTGGAAGAACAAATGACTTGAGAACAGGCAAAAAAACAGGGCTTTATTAGAATAAAACTAAACAAACAGAGACTGGAAATAAACTGGAGCACAAGGGATGAAAACAAGAAGACAAGACATTAGAAGGACACGGGTTGACATGCTGAGCAACATTAATGACTGGACTGGGGAACACAAGATTGGGAAGCACATACTAAACTATTGAGGGCGCTAACGAGAGGCAGCTGGGAGTGATCAACACAAGGGTTAGGAACAAGAGGTAAGACAAGTAACAGGCATGGCTTGTTAGGCTCACGCTAGGGAGGAGAGATGACAGTCAGGTAGGCAGGATGTGACACTAACAAGTTTCAAGTCAAGTCTCAAGCCATGCTTCTTAGAATTAAACAAGTCAAGTCAATTCAAAGACCTTATTCAAGCAAGTCATGTCAAGTCATGATATATCGCTATAATTCCACCATCAGTAACTATGGTAAATGTAATGGTGATTACATTTAATAGTCATTCATTTAAAAAGTGGTCAATTTAATGCTAATAATATTCACACCTATTAATATTTGCATCTCCCTGAGTAAAGAGTTCTTGTAGCAAACAATTAAAATATGAAATATGGATAACTACCATTGCATTTTAACAGTGTTCAGCAATTCTCAACTAAAACAATTCTAATGAAAATAAGAACAGAAATACAGACTTCAACTTGCAGAAAACCTAAATTTTTTTTTAAACGTTTTCACACTCAATGAGTGTTAGACAGAACTGTCACTTAGCTGTAACAATATTAAACCTTAAGTAATCTGTACATGTAACAATAAGTCATGTAGGATGTATAAACCCAATGCAGCAGCTACTGTATGTTACTATGAATAAGTTAAGTACCTGCAAGCATCACAATTACTGTACAACACTTACAGCCAGGCAAAAATTGGATACACTATTGCAACAGTGTAAAATGTGTAACGTGATTTTATTAGACAAAATAAGCACGTCTTATAGGGCGTTTCAGGGTTGCCAACTTTGGTCAGCTGGCTGAAATGAGATTTTCAATTCAAGACGAGTCTCACATGCGTGCGTGCGCTTATACACACAACATGCACACACACCTACCTGTATGTAACAGTTTTCTTACCTTGTAAATAATCTTGTAGGACTTGCAAACTATCCCAATGCTTATGATATGACTATTTTTGGTTTATAATGGATGCTATACATTTGGCATGAGATTTCTTGCGTGAGCGTGAGATTAAGGCTGAAAGCATGAGCCGCACCAGAAGCGCGAGAGTTGGCATTCCTGGCTGTAATGTACATGGATTCACCACGTCCCATTCACTGCTATGGCGCGGCATGGTGCTGGCGGGAAAAAGGTAACGATCCACTGGAAGCTCTGTGACAAAATGGGTTTATCAACATAAAACAGAACACACTGGCAAAGGCACAAAATAAGAGTACCCCGAGGGGTCAAAAAGCCAACAAGAACTAACTACAAGAATCATAAAGCAACCAAAGAAACAGGGTAACACAGGTAGCAGGATTATCAACCAGGCAGAGTCTGAAACACACAGCAACACAGAGTAACATCTAACAAAGGGTGAGTTTCCTGAAGCCTTCTTCGTCATTGGTCATTGCTACATCATTCGTAAGTTCTATGTTAAAAGATTGAACTTATGATCTGCGTAGCGTTAAGGAGGCTTCCAGAAATTCACCCAATGACTGACATGGGAAATTAACAAAGGCAGGCACTTAAATACACTGATAATGAGGACTAACAAAGGGCATATGTGAACAACTAATCAACAAGGCCATGGAACAGCAAGACACAGGTGAAATAACATTCAAGACAATGAACCAGGGAACCTAACAAACACTAAGGTTTAACAACACTAGGGAAGACTAGGAACAAAAACCTGTGCAGAACAGAAGAAAAGCCAGGCACAACAAGGTGAAGCAAAAGCAAACTCATGACTGGTGGGTTTATAGTCTCAGGGCCACACACTCAACCCACTGAGCTATGCAGCAGTCCAGGCAACAGGGAAAACATTCTAGGGGCTTTCTGTGAACTGGGCACACTAGGGCTGAAGGGCAGGTTAGGACGGTATAGACCCTGAGAGTTTGGTGCATCATTTATGGTTCGGCAGGAATAATGATGAATGAATACATTTATTGACACGGGTGGAGCTTAAATCACAAGTAGATGTTCAGTACAGAAAACATTATGCTAATTGTGGCTGTGAATTGGTTATGGCTAATACTAGTTACTAGGTACTAGGGCTGGGCGATATGGACCAAAAATCATATCTCGATTTTTTTTAGTTGAACGGCGATATATGATATGTATCTCAATATTTTTTCCCTATAAAGTAATAACAAAAAGACAGTTCCAAGTCAGAGCCAAATGTCCCCAATGTCACACCGGCACTTTTATTAACAGACAGCTGTACATGTGCATGAGAAAAATGGCAGAAAAATAAACTACCGTCATATATTATTTTACCAACCAGTTTCTCTGCGCTAGCTTGCCTCGTGTCTGTGTCTGTCTCCACGCTGTTGCTGCATGCAGGACTTGTGAGTTGAGGGGGATGGGTGGGGCAGGGTGCAGTTGCACGAGACAGACAGGGAAAGGAGAAATAGGCGAAGTGGAGGCTCTAAAAGTATCATTTTAAAGCAACATAAACTATATCGATATAAACAAAACCGTCTCGTCCTATATCTCATGTGAAAATATATCGATGTACAGTGGTGCCTGCGGTTCATGAACGCTGTAGCTTACGAGCAATTTGTTTCACTACCAAAAGTTTTGTGGAAAAAAATGCATTTAGTTCGCATACAAAATTTGGTTGACGACCAGATTCCTTTTTTAATACTAGTGTAGCACCAGCGGTGCTTATGTCCCAGCATGCCCCGCGTGCAATTGTAAATAGAAGGACCACAACAAGCGCCGGACTCAAATTCACAGACGGGAAACACAAGGTTGTAAGACGCCAAACTGCAAGATGCACGCACGGTGGAAGGTTTACACACGCTAAATACACGCGAGGATCGGACCTGATACACACAAGACACGGGCAAACACACGCGCGACAATGGGGAAATGCAACCATTAACATGAACAACAACAACAATACAAGGGTTAAGGACTGTTAATAAAGAGCATGATTTCCCCGGCAAGCAATTGGTCTCCATGTCTCACTCTACTCCCGCGATTCATCGGTCCGCCCGTCGCCACACTATATTGTGTTTTTCTTTAAAGTTTTTAACTATAAAAACCATAAAATTAATTAACAAAAATTATTATTTGGTAGGCTTGTGAACGAATTAATGCGATTTCAGTGCTTTGTTATGGGAAAAAATTGCCTTGGTTCGCGTACAAATTGGTTCACGACCACTTTCCTGGAACGGATTGTGTTCTTGAACCGCAAGCAACACTGTATCTTAAAAACTCGATATATCGCTCAGCCCTGCTAGTTACAGTCAGTCAGAATCGGCGGTTTGGGAACATTTTGGTTTCCCAGTAAATCACACCTACACTGGAGAGCCAAAGATAAGTTAATAAGACCGACTCTGCTCTGTTATGCCGAGCATACATGGATATGTTGTTGGAAACACATCCAACATGCTAACACTCTTGAAACAACATCATGCTTCAGTAGGTATGTCTCTGTAAGTTAGTTTCTCTGTGGCATTTTAAAGCGCTTTTGCCAGGAAATTCAGACTGGGCTAAATATAGTAATATAAATAAAATAAAAGTCTGCCCATGCAGTCTGCCTTCAGTATCCGTAGGTTCCATATATACAAATTAAACCAACTGCTTATCAAAAATATTCCGAAGAAAATGAAAATCCACGAAGTTCCAAAATCCAAAACTTTAAGTTGCTGCACGCTGATCACCATCCTCAATCTACGCGAATGCAGTGATGTGTAGGCAGAGAGAATAAAATATTTTCTCTATTTATTATTATATTTAATATGTGTACTACCAAGTTTGTCTGTTCTGTACATGTACAGACTTTTTCCTTGTCATTATTCACTAAACAGTACAGTATAACAACTATTTACCTAGCATTTTCATTGTATTGGGTATTACACACTCACTGGCCATTACGGTACATGTGTTCAACTGCTTATTGAATCAAGTATTTAATCAGCCAGTCATATGTACGTGCATAAAAGCATTCAGATATAGGTCAGGAGCTTCAATTAATGTTCACATCAAGGAGCTTCAATTAATGTTCACATCAAGCACCAGAATGAAAAAGAAAGGTGATTTAAGTTACTTTGAACATGACATGGTTGCTGGTGCCAAATGGGCACAAATGCACAACCTTCTCTAGGCTTTACGGAGAAGGGGCCAAAAAGGAAAGAAATATCAAGTGAGCAGTGGGTGACATTTTCTTGGCACATTTTGAGCATCGTGCCGCAGCCTACCTGAGTAGTGTTGCTGACCATGTCCCTCCCTTTACGACCACAGTGTATCCAGCTTCTAACGGTCATAAAAATGGAGACTCGAGTCTGAATCAAGTCAAGTCGTGTGACTCAAGTTGCCCACCTCAGCTGTTCAGGTACTTTTTCTTTTGGATGATTTTTACCTAAGGGTACCAACGCACATCTTTCCTTGCCTGCCAATTTCTCTGGTCTGTAACGTGCATTCCTCCTCTCTCTTACCCAGAAAGCCCTGTAAGGCTACAGTCCTGCACCATGTTTACAGAATGCCAGCTCATTAAATTTTAAATGGGCCCACTGGGAGACAGCAATACGAAGTACATTCGTGACCCAGTACGAGTCAGCCTGAAGTATTTAGGAGGAGAGAAAGGAGAAAGCTAATCCTATAAATGGACAGCAATCATTATGAGCTTTCAAAGAAATACCACAGTTGCCTTTGATAAGATTTTTGACGTATTCATCAAACATCACCTGCAGCATTGCAAGGTTCATAATTTATGTAGCCGAACAGTAGGTCAGCTTGGGGGGGCTGAAGAGCACAGTAACAGCTTTGCAGGACAATGCCAGCGATCGTGGCCAGGGTGCAGTCCATGCCAGGCAACTTAATGGCAGAGAACACGGCTCTCTTACACCTGTCAGGAGAGCGACGGTCCGTAGAGGGTGACTAGCGAGATGCAAGCACCAAATCACAGACCGGTGCATAATTAGTCATTAATGTATCCATCTAATCAAAGATCAGAAACACAATGCCTGTGTGTGTAGGGGGGGGGGGGGGGCGGTGAGTAGATAGTGTTTCTCATTCAGCAACAAAGCAAAGGAGTGACAGGGAAGCTTGTCCACGTCTCTCTGTATCTCAGACAGATCATCTGTGGAATCCGTCTAGAGATCTGCTTGATGTCAGTCAGGGACTGGCAAGGAGAAGAGGGTTGGAGGACTGGAGCTGAACTGAACATCTCACAGGTGGTCAGCAAGTCTGAGGAAGACTGAGAAGGCGGCAGGGTGGCCAACCAGGCACCATGGAAGTCACATCCATTTGCTAGACAGCCCAGGGTAAGGGACAGCAATAGCAGATGATGCGGAGACGCTAAGAAACCAAGGAGACCTCATTGGCTGTTCACCGCTGCAGACATGCAGGTATTGTCCAGTGCGCTTTATGTGTCTTTTTATTTTAACAAAATCACTGTCACCAAATCATGCTTCGTATTTTTTGAGACATAGGGAGTGAATACAAGGCATAAGATCATCTTTAGGGTGTAACTAATAATCAATCATAATTGTAATTGATTAAATGCTTATGCTCTAAATTTGAATATCTGTAATGAAGAGTAAGTACTCATACTCTAGTTCTGGCTTTTGAATATCCATAAGAAAGTACGTACTGTCAGGTACTTAGACATGAAGATATGTGATGAAACAGGAGTTATTTCAATGGCAGGATTAATTAATGTTTGATTCCTGGGCTTTTTCCAATGAATAGTTAGTGTTTATTCTGCAAGGGTAAAATTAGCTTCTTGTTGCTTTACAGAAAATTGGGTATAAATTAGTTATACTTCATTTGTCAGCCTTTCACTCTTAGTTTTAATAAAAGATTGTCATGCCTCAGGACTTTGTGTCTTTCACGGTCTTGGACTGTGTTCTCTTTTGCTTATCTTTTGACTTAATGCTTTGTCCTTATTATCAAAACCACGTTAATAATATGGCGGATTTCAGGGAATGTAACTTGCTTAATGAACAGACCAAAGCTGTGATGGACTGGTATCCTGTCCAGGGTATCCTCTGTCTTCCTGGGGGGTGGGGAGCAGTGTGTGTACTTCTGATTGTAGTACTGAGTAACAAGACTCATTAAGATGTGGGGGAGGGTCAGAATACATGCATTCCCTTCCTGGGATAGGCTCCAGGTTTACCAGGACCATGTACTAGATATATGATATAGAAGATGGATGGATGGATGGAAATTAAGAGAAATACTTATTTAAACATCAGTGGTCTTCATTACCTATTATAGATGCTGAAGATCTAGAAAAGATCATATATTTCACCGTGGACCTTAACGAGTAAATCTAAATGACGGGGAAACCCCATTATTATATCTCAGATGACCAAAATTAATTAAAAAATTAACTAAACCTCACTCTTAGTGAAGACCCTATAAATTACTTAAAATCTCACTCTTAGATGGTAGCAGTCACATATACTGTAGCTCCAGCTATTTGGCCAACAAACAATCAATTTATGAAAACAAATCAAAGCGGCAGTATTAAATTGCTGAGCATTGTAATTTTAAATTTCATAACTCTTCTTAAAGTTATTCAAGTGTAGTTTAAAATTAACTGACAGTCTTTCTGCTCACATAATTTTGCTGGGTGAAGAATTTATCTTTTTCTTAACATCAAGAATGGATTTTTCATTTTAATGGACCAATGGTGGTTTTGGTACCTGTCTTCCAACTATGAACGGGACGCTAAATGTTAATCTGTGGTGTTACTGTGCCCAGACAGTGTTGGTAGAGTTGTTCAGAGATAAAACTGGTCTTCAAAGAAAACCCTTTTAAAATATTTATTTGTGAACCTGAGTGTTGCAGCAGCACACAGCAGTTTTGTTACTACACAAAGATCACTTAAAACTGAGAGAAAACGGCTGAGAAGGACTTTGAGAAGGTTAGGGGGTGTACAGTACGTACCATCGGACAGTAGAGCTGTGCAGTGAAAGAAGCAGTTTCACACAAGAGCAGCAGGGTGCCAAGGGTGTCAGTAACAGGATCTGGTGGGCGGCACTGTCGCTGCTCTGGAGGCCTAGTGACAAACGCTCATGAATATAGCTGAGCAAGGCTGGGCACGCCATCAAATTAGGCATCCAGTGTCTTTTCTCCGTCTCACAGGTGAGGTCATCACGGTAGCCATGACACCTTAATCCAGATGAAAGACCATTTCTTAATTAAAGATGGCCCAGTTCTGAGATTACAAAGAAAATTAGCTAATGTTTTGAAGGGGTGAGCAAGTCTCAGGCTACATGTTAGAATGTTTAATGTTTATCTTTTAAGGTAGACGAGGGGAACAGAGTGAAGTTAACGCAGTGGGGATGCATACGGTGTCTCAAAGTAAGGTTGTGAATTGTGTATGAGTGCCTATCTAAGCGTTGTCTTACAGTTCAGCTGCCCTGTAACTATGGAGATGGTTATGGTGTTGAGTGAGGGGTGCGGTTAGAAAGAAGGGCATCACAAAACAGGATATGGTTGTCAAACCCGTGCTAAGTATGCATGATGTTATAGCTCAGCTTACTCTTCTACATAGAGGCCTCCAAATGATCTGTCATTAAGGAGTATAATCTTGTATGTAGCCATTCTAAGTGATGATTTTAAGCTTACCAGCTTCATGTGGCTATCTTGTGAAGTTGTCTGAATTTCTGGGTCTGCATGGTTGAAGCTGGAATGGCTTGCAACTGCAGTGTTGGTTATTTGGAGATCTTTTTTATTTGGAGAGTCCAGCTGTCTGAACATTTAGCATGTAGGGCAGTTATGGCGCCCACTGTTTAATCCTGATGCCAAACAGGGTACATGGACAGACCCTGGGGGGGGTGGGGGCATCCCTGTGAATCCCTAGGCTGATAAC